GAGAGAGAGAGAGAGAGAGAGAGAGAGAGAGAGAGAGAGAGAGAAAGAGAGAGAGAGAGTGGTGGCGAAAAGACGCTAACGTTCCTGCGAGTCCTGCATCTACGCGACGTCCAGTCTTAAGTCATGCCGGTCTCCCCCGAGGCTTCACAGATTTAGTAGACCAGCTCCGAGCGCCGGGCGTGTAGCACCTCGTCGCTTTCGCGGGGTTACGCGCATCCGATTAATCTTGGTACCCTTAAAGTATACATAAACGAGCGGCGTCGGTCGCCGTTTCAATTATTACTAAAGCGCCTTCTGCCAGTCAGCCGGAAACGCAGTGGCAGACGCGGGCCCGTTCCCGCCCGCTCGGGCGTATATATCGCGCCCGGGTTTCACGGGACTGAAATTTCGACGCAGCGTGGAGGTCTCGAGGAGAGGATATATCCCTTGCATCGTTTATGACGGGTTTCTGATTCGGAGATGAGTGTACGTGGGACGCATAAGATAGGGTCTCACCTCGGCAAATCTGCACGTGACCCTAATACGGGTTACCGCGCCACCCGGATTCGCACGTTCCCATGTGCATCCTAAAGTCTAAACACTCCTATATGAGTCGGGGCTTTGGTCGGCCACAGTATCGCGCACACGCGCTCTCGCGCGAGCGTCTACACGTACACACGCCGGCGCACACGTTCGCGCCGGAGATGCATATAATGCGTCGATATACGCGACGTGTGTATATAGCGCATACACACGACTCTCCATGAGAGCTTCAGTCACTTCCAGGAGACAAACTATCGAGTCACCGCGACTCCACCAGCTTGGCATGATCGTCCTCTCTCTCTCTCTCTCTCTCTCTCTCTCTCTCTCTCTCTCTCTCTCTCTCCTTCCTTCCCTCCCTCCCTTCCTCTGTCTCTCTTTCTCTTTGCCTGCACCGAAATATTTGGCTCGCCAAATTCGGACCAAGCTCTCCTCGGTGATCGAAATTTCGCGTTTGTCTCGCGACGTGTGTCGCCTCGCTGAATTTTCACCGCGGCAGATCATTCCCGCGAGAGAGGGTAATCTCTTTCTCTCGTTTCCGAATATCATTCCGTACACTGAGAAAAGGAAGTTTGATATTTCTAATTACAATCACATAGAGAAATAATCACCTATAAATTATGATTGAGAAAAAAACAATCTGTTTTATTAAATTCTACTTTTAAAATCCGAGCAAGAGTGCCGGCTACTGGATGACCCCTTGCTACCATTCTTGTGTTAGAACAAAAGAAAATATCTGACTGGAAATAACTATAATTTCAGTTGGATCAACCATTTTCTTGCTCTCAGTGTTAAGTAGTATAGCATTCATAGCGTTTTTTCCACGCTCAGAATATTTTTAACGGTTACCATACGGCCAGAGGAAAAAGGGAGAACGGGAGAAAGAGCGATGAATCAATTAGCGAAACTGTGCCAAGTGTCACAGACGGCATGGGCGCAAGATTAAGACCGGTATTATCGATCATTCGCGTGCTCCAAATTATCGCATTAATCGCGTCGTCTCGCCATTTCCATAAAACGGTTCCGCCGGCCGCTGCCTCTCCGTGTTTATCAAGGTATGGGCATGCAAGTGGGCTATCTTTTTCGCGGACGCGGACGAATGCTGATGCGGGTCGGCGAGATCTTCGGGATATACACGGTGGCTCCCGATGTCGAGGATCGCGGCTGCCGGTCAGTGGCTGTTGTTTTATTCAAGAAGCTGAATATTGAAACGAGAGTCAATACCGGCCATCCGTTTCCATGCGGAGGGAAACACGGATGCGCTTATATCCCCCGCGTTTATACGAATGCGCCGCGGCGGGGCTGGCACCTCGTCGTTTCCGCGCGAGAAACGCGTCCCCGCCCCGTGTGTTCGCCGCTTTCGACGCTCGCCCCCGTGAAACGCAAATTACTTGCCCGGCTAATTGATCAGTCGTCTATCGCTCGCGATTAGGCAGCGCTGCCGTCGTCGTCGGGGATGCGAATGTTGCTAACGGCGCCTATCTAATGGCTGTCGAGTCGCGTTATCGTCACGAGACGTGCGATTGAGCGTCGACACACGAACGCGGGAACGAGCGACGAGTTCTCTCGTGTGCTCGCGAAAAGCTAGATGAACTTTCATGATTATCACGAGGTGAGAAAAAATCGAAATTTTACAATTTTTTCCAATTGCATTTATGTGGCATATATAGTGTATTGAATTAATTATAGAACTTACACCAAACTATGATCTAATTTTCTTAGTTAAAACAAATTTATTGAAAGTTACATTTAGATTTTTATATTGTATTTTACGACACATTATTTGAAGTAAATTTTAATCAATCTCTTAGTATTTCTTTCGTATTTTCATTTCGTCACTCTATGTGATACAAGTGAAATCCTGAAAATCAAAGCCTGATAGCATTTGGCGTTTAGCTTCATGGTAATAATAGATCTAACGCGTGTGGCCGTTTCGAATCGTGGTACATGTGCGATGGTCGATATAAAATTTAAACGTGACATTTGTGGCATCTCTTATACGTCGATCTCCGTTCCCGCTCTACATTATGTTTTAATTGACGATCTCCATATCGCGTCGTTAAAAGGTTTCCCTGAAATATTCAACCGACTTATTCGATCTCCGATAACTAAAGGTCAGATTCTATATCGGACGTCATATTTTGATTCGCGCGTTTGCTTGGTCTAGACGCTACTTTTTAACAAGATTGATTACCAAATTCGTTCTCAAGCGCGAAATGGGGCCACTTATACATTTGATCGATGAACTTTCGGAGGAACTAAGCAATCCAAAGAGAGAAGTTCAATCAAGTTTTATTCGATTTCGCCTTATGAGGCAATTAATATCAACGGTAAAGTCAGCAATAAACTCACAAGGAATGTTGTAGTTCTTGAATCTTCCACGCAGACAATGTCGAACAAAGTGAAAGGTTCTCATGGTACTGAGGCACTTCGGCTTCCTCGTTATTCACGATCATTCACCCAAGTTGGCCGATCAAACGTAAATTCGGCGAGAGGCTCGCTCGAAACGACGACGCTCTCGCAGCTCCTACGACGTCGCCGGGTTCTACATTAACAGTGACAATAAGAGAGAGAAAGAGAGAGAGAGAGAGAGAGAGAGAGAG